AGTTTTTTTTTTTTCTCCTGCTGATAATAGGCCACCTTAATTGATTAGTCACGTTACAGTTGGTATGGCAACCCCCATTTTTTCATGTTCTCTGTGTGTGTGTGTGTGTGTATATATATATATATATATATCTTCCTACTGTATTTTCCACTGCATGCATCTGATGAAATGGGTTTTAGCCCACGAAAGCTTATGCCCAAATAAATTTGTTAGTCTCTAAGGTGCCACAAGTACTCCTGGTTCTTTTTTCAAAAAATGTATAATTAGTAGTGGTAACTATTTGGAGTAGTTTGTGAGAAGGGGGCTCACTTAAAGCATGAATTTAAGGAATTCTTGACTTTTAATGTGAACATCAAAATGTATGAACTCTAAAGGCAAATAAATGAGGCAGAGCTATTATTTATATTAAAAGGCAAAAATTTGCGATGTTCACTGAAATGAGAAGTCAATACAAGCTATATATTGCACCTCATATTCTGAATACCTTCATCAAAAGTACTGGAAAACTCTCCATTAGGCTGATAGGCCTATAAAAGGTAATAATTTAAAAAAACAAATAAGCAGCATTCGAGAGAGGTTAAGTATAAGATGCATCTGATGAGAAAGATGGAGTACAGACATTTTTATTTGTGATCTGATTGGATAATGTTGTTCCAGACCCCAGGACTGTTGATCCCTGAAGTAGGTAAACAACAGAGACATCTAACAACTGTTTCCAGCTAATAAGCCAGGATTTTCTTCTTTGTTTGCATTAATTAACCATCCTCCTTCTTCATCCCCAATGAATTTGAGAGACTTGCTATGTCAGGGGTTCTCAAACTGGGGGTTGGGACCCCTCAGGGGGTCTCGAGGTTATTACATGGGGGGGAGTTCGCGAGCTGTCACCCTCCAGCCCAAACCCCTCTTTGCCTCCAGCATTTATAATGGAGTTAAATATATATAAAAAAGTATTCTTAATTTATAAGGGGGGGGGTCACACTCAGAGGCTTGGGTCACCAGTAAAAAAGTTTGAGAGCCAATGTGCTAGTACAATGGTAGGGAACATGTGACTTCTTTCTCCCATCCTTCACCTCACTTTGTTTCTGACTATTGGTTGGTTTTTTTTAAAGATTTTTTTAAAATACTCATGATTTTAAGTACACAACTAGGTCAGTTTGGTTGATTTTAGATTTTCCCAAATGGCTTGAAGAGAATGTAAAGTTTGTTTTGGGTGTTTTCCTCAAACACACTTATACATTAAAAGTCCTCTCCTACAACCCTTGCTCACATGAATGCTCTGTATTCATAGACCAGAGCCTGCTCTCAAGGAAGTCAATAGAAAATCTCCCACAGGCTTCAGTGGTGCAGGATCAGCCCAGTCCTGGGAGACAATAAGCATTCCTGGGGTGTGAGCACCTGCTATTCCTAGCTATTTCTGGATGAATCAAGGGCACTCACTATCTTGTAGAAGTGGACGCTTAAGAAGGCCCATTCAGTTGAACGGGACAACTAGTGAGTATGCCCATGAATAAGTGTGGCAACATTAGGCCCACATTGAAATTTTCTTTCTTCTTCATATTTAGTAAAATTAAGGACAAATTCAAAAACAATTCGTTAATAAGAGAGTTCATTAAAATAGCTGGCTGAGCTTTAGTTTAAAAACCTGTGGTTAATTTACATAAAGTAAAGCACTGGAGTCCAGATAATTGAAGATGTTTTGTTGGGGGTGGGGTGGGGTGAGGAAGGGAGTAGTATTATGGTGATGAGCACTATAGAAACACTCATACATATAAACAATTAAATGAACTGTAAAAAGGAACCTCTGAGCTCAAGTGCTTAAGTAAAACAATGAGTTCCAAATACATTGTGTAAGAGTATATTGTAATTTATTTCAAAAATGGTTTATGGAAATTGTGTAGTAAGTTAATTTTTCTTCTGCGCTTGCCTCATCTGAGAAAGTCTGCCATGGTGTCAGCTGATGCAGTGGTTTCCCAGGGGCAATGAAGGCTGCTGCAACAGAGAAGCCCCCTAAGAAGCATACCTACTAAAGACTATAGGCTACGTTCACAAAAGGACTTAGGAGCCTAACTACCTGTTAAGTGCCTAAATCCCAGAATCAAGCCCCACTGAGATTCACAAAACTGTTCAACTGCTGCTGAAGACTGTAGGTGCCTAAACTCACTCAGCACCTATTTGTTTGTAGTAAAAGTTTCCTGGGCACCAGTGTTTCTGCCACTGGGCATGTGCACACCACGCACCAAGAGACCTAAGCCCCAGAGTGATTCACAAACCCAGGGAAGATGGATGGCCCTCCACCTAACTTGCCTGTGGGGTCCGATCCAGTAAGGATGCTCACAGCTTGCCTATCAGATTGGGCCCCTATAAGGCAAGCTTACACAAAACAGCCAGGGGAGGACGGGCTCCCTCACAGCTTTTAGCCCAGAGGTTAGGGGACACTCTGAGGACATAGGAGACCCCTGTTCAATTCCCCCTCCAGCTGAGAGGGAGAAGGGTTTTGAACAGGGATCTTCTCCCTCTTATATGGGTACCCTAACCACTGAGCTATGGGATATTCTGAGCGCTGGGCTCCATCTCGCCCAGTTAAAATTATTTTTCTACAATGGAATAGTTTCAAAAGAGTCATTGGCATGGGGGGCCTGGATCTTCCACCTCACAAGTGACAGTGTGCTAACTACCAGGCTACAGAGCCATTCTCTCTCTTCCCTGCCTCCCTCAATGACCTCCTTCACCACTGAGAGGTGGCTGATCCTTGTGGAAATCTCTTCTCCCCGTCAGCTGGCAGGGGACTTGAATCCTGGTGTCTCCCATGTCACAGGTGAATACACTAACTATGGGGCTAAAAGTTATGAGGGAGCTCCTTTCCCCCACCCCTGACATTGAAAAAAATGGCATAGGCATCTAAGGCCAAGATAGAGTTTGCAGCTGAGAATCCCACAGAGTGGTACCTCCCTGCAGCCCAGATTTAGGCACCTAGCTTCAAGAGAGGGGCAGGAGTTGGCATATGCCCCTTGGCTTGGCATCTCTCATTAACTGTCATAGGTGAGGAGAGCTGGCTAGCATGCTGGCTGTGTGTGTGAGTGTGTGTGTGTGCATTCCATTCTGAGGTGTCTCTCTCTCCCCATTCATTAGACAGTGGTGCTTAGTGGTCAAACACAGGCTTTGTGAATCCCGGTGATTTTCTAGGCACCAAAAAATTAGGTATGGCAATGCTTAGTGTCACCATACCTAAGTATCTTTGTGAATCTAGCCCTATGCTTTCTGTGCAAATGACTGGAGCCACAAAGAAATAAGGACAATTAAAAATAAGTAACAAAATAAACAATCAAAGAGTTATATACTGAAGTTAGACCTGGAGGAGATGACCCGCACAGAGCATATGGCCTACTAAATTATGCAAAGGGATGCCTAATGTCACATGGCAAATTAGCATCAGAGCCAGGATGTAAAGCTCCCGGTCAAGACTTCTGCCTTACTGAATGTCAGTTGTTGATCTATAAACTAGGAGTAATAAATATCAAAGGGGTAGCCATGTTAGTCTGTATCCACAAAAACAACGAGGAGTCCAGTGGCACCTTAAAGACTAACGATTGATTTGGGCATAAGCTTTCTAAGAAGTCAGTTTTTTACCCACTAAAGCTTATGTCCAAATCAATCTGTTAGTCTTTAAGGTGCCACCGGACTCCTTGTTGTTTTTTTAGGAGTAATAAAGTTCTTGGCACTGTCATATTCTATGGCTCTCAGAGGTCTTTACAAAGGTAGGTAGCTCCAATTCATAGATATAGTGACTGAGGCACAGATAACTTAAGACTTAAACCACTGAATCCTGTTCACAGAGGCAGCTTATGAGTCTGACAAAGTTGGAACTAGAACTTAGATCTGTGCGCTGAACAGCCAGGCAAGTCACTAAAACATAGTGCCTCAAGGTCAAATTACTTATATTGGGGATCTATTCTGAAAAGCGACCAAAACCAGTACTACTGGCTTCCAAATTTGACACCATTATGATTTTCAGATCCAACTGACTTAATTTACAAATAAAATGTTTTTCCAACTGCAAATTAATTCAGAGATCTGAAAGTTAAGCAGACTTATTTCCTTTGCAATCATCGTGCTAGTATTAAAGACTGCAGCCAATTGTGCCAACAATTGCACTTGCTTTGAACAATGAGACTAAAGAGGTGTAACTAATGGTCTTCAAGTCAGTTACACAGATGTGAATGAGGGCACTATTTGGCCCTGCAGTTGGAATTTCTGTTGATGATGCATAGAGAGGAATAGAATTCAGCTCACTCCCTCTTAGCTGAGTTGGCTCTGGAAAACTATTAAGAATAAAAGGGAATTAGAAAAAGAAAAGCTGTGTGTGGCTGGAAAGCCAATAGACGATATTACCTCACCCACTTTGTCTCTCTAATAATCAGGATTGACATTTTCCAGAGAAAAATTTCAGTTGTGATGAAATCCTATTTTTAGCAGGAAAACTTTCCACATGAAAAATGTTGACCGGGTCTTTTAATAAATAATGCTTTG